AGCATAACGAGCCATTGCCTCCTCGCTGCTTAACGCCAGTGAGAAATCAGAAGCAGAAATTTTTGCTCGGATTTCTTTTAAATAAACGAAATTATAAATTAATTCCAAAGGAATATTTTCTCGTCATTGAGAACTTGCGGAACTTTCTCCGGCCTCTGCCAAAGGAACATATTCATTTATTTCCTTATTTCAAGGCAATTCGGCTTGACGAGAAAATTTTTCATAATCGCCTGCTCTGGCTTGATAATCTGAAAACTTTTGAAAGTTGGGAAGGTTTAAATGTTGTAAAGCAGGGTAAACAAAATCCCTAAATGATGTATAAGCATCGGGGTTAGTAAACTCAAATTCTCATCTGACAACTGGCTCGGTATGATGATCCTTGGTTATTGGACAGCGAACTTTTCAACCTTGGCCTTTGGTTCATGGAGGATCCTCACTCGTGTCGCAGGGCTTTCAGTAGTGATTTTCTTTTATATAATTGTGATTAGAAAAATAGAGGCACATTTTCAGAATATCAACTAATTGTCAATTTTTTTTATTAGTTTGTCAAAAAAATTTTGGTTTGCGTCTTAGATTTAAAGAGTTTAGGGAGTTTTTTTTAAGTTTTGCTTCCTCGGCAAAATAAGGAGCGAATTCCTTTTCAAATTGTTTGGCACAACCATAGTCATTATTGATAAATATATGGGAATAAAACTTAGGGGTTTTTATTTTTTCTCTTCTACCGCATTTTTCACCTTTATGGTTTCCATAAGAAGCTTGGAAGAATTTATAAATTTTCATGCCGGATAATAAACCTGATTTTTTGGCTTGTTCTAGATTGGCTCGCATTGAAAATGATTTGGCTAAATATTTAGTTAGGTAGACGACCACTCCTTCGGCAGATTTAATTGGTTTATTACTAATTTTTAAATGGGAAAGTTGTTTAATATCCACTAATCCATAAGGTCAAATATCATGAACAATATACGCCCGGTGGTCTCAACAAACCTGGGGATTTCCTCGACTATTATATTTACCTAGTCCACAAACTTCGTGGTTGTATTTGACGGGCAAAAAATTGGTCGAGAGCATATGAATATGCCAATTGCGATGACAGTCATGCCTAGTTAAGCAAAAACAATGGACCTTATCATGGTTTTTTCAAGAACTTTTGCGGTGCTTTTTGCCTTCCCAATGGCAAGGAGTTTGGCATTTATGGAGTTCCGGAACCGCTACATATTTAAATCCAGTCGGTCTTCACTTTTTTTGAATATCACTAATGGCCTGATTAAAAAGGTCATTCGCTCCCTCTAAATTCCTTCCCATCCTTTTTTTAGCGATTTTCTTCTCAGCCAAGAAGGAAGAAGTTAGGTGAGAAACCCGCTGGTAAAAGTGCTTTCCATTACAACCAGAAACCGGACATTTTCGCTTTTTTCGCCAGGGAGAAAAGGAAAAAGACATTTTTTTCTGATAATTGTTGAAGGTGAAAGTAGAAAAATATAATCCTCGGTCAAAATCCTCCGGAGTAAAATTCATGAGAGTTTTTTGTTGAAAGTTCCGCAAAGAAGTATAGAAACTACTTTTTTGAGTTAAATTGACCGCTAATTGGTGCAATTCTTTTTCCACTTCTTCATCGTGAAAAATAGACTTTTTTTTCTTTTTAGGACCTTTTCGATAAATGCCAGGAGGAACCTGGCCGAAAGAGATTTTAGCCCTCTGAATTTTCTCACCAAAGTCGGTAATCGAAAAATTAATTAATTTACTAGAACTAGCCGAGTCAGTAAATAAATTAGTAAAATCTTCCAGTTGCAAAATAGAGAATTAAAATTAATGATATATAATTTAATTTTATTGATTTAGAGTGAGTTAACTAGGTTAAAAATAGAGAGAATTCAAGGTCAGGAGTTTCTCAAAGGAATTAAAAAACAAACTCAAAAACAAATCGATAAAATGATAAAAAGTATTGAAAACTTGGTTAGTGCGGATAATGTTTTTCAACAAAAAAGTCCACGAGCAGCAAAAGCCAAAAATAGAAAAATTACTAAAAGGTTATTCCGCTCAAACCGCTTCCCCAAAAGATAATTTTCCGTTAGTTCCGGTAATTGTGGTTGGTTCTTTATTTACCCTACTAATTATTGCAATAATTATTATTGGAAATCGCAAAATTCGGAAAAGAAAATAATTTATGACTTTTCTAAATACTTAATTACTGATTGGGCGGCAATAGCCCCTTCGGCCACCGCCGTAACAATT